AGAGCGAGGTGCCACCAGTGGTGCTGCACGCCCATGTGCAACAGCATCGTCCGCACCGACTCCACCACCGTCCGCATCTCCCGCTCCGCCATGCCGTTCTGCTGCGGGGTGTAGGGGCAGGTCAGGTCGTGGAGGATCCCCTTGCCGTCCACGAGGGCGGTGAAGTCCTTCCCGAGGAACTCCCCTCCCCGGTCAGAACGCAGCATCAACACCGACTTCTTCGTCTGCCGCTCAACCGTCACCAGCCACTGCTCGAACTCCCGCAGCACGTCGGACTTCCTGGCGACCGGCCTCACCCACACATAGCGGGTCTTGCGGTCCTTCAGCAGCAGGAAGTATAGGCCGCCGTCCTTGGCGGCCACGCGGAACGGCCCACACAGGTCGAGGTGCACAACGGCCAGCACGTCGTCGGCGTCGGAGCCGTGGTCGGGGAAGGTGTGCCTCGCCAGCTTCCCGCCGACGCACGAGACACACGGTGAGTCGGCACCGCCTGGAAGTCCTCGCCGGCCTCCGGCGCCAGCGAGACGGTTGACTCCACCACGCCGACCAGAGAGCATGACGCCGACTAATCATCTCGCCCCTTGCCACCAGCAGAGGAGTCGGCGTCCTTCGCCGAGGTCGATGACTTGGTCGACAGCTTCTCTTTGCGTGGCTGGTTTCCTCCTCGACGAGGACGACGGCTGCCAGACCTCCCGCGGCCTCCCTTGGCGTCGTCGTCGTCGGAGTCACTGCGGTCGGGGCACTCAAAGGAGAGGTGGTCGGGGTCGCCGCACAGCCAGCACTCCCGACGTCGACTTCCTCCTCCTCGACCGCTGTCCTTGGTCGACTTCTTCTTGTCGACTTCCTTGGTCGACTTCGAGCCACTGCTACCACCGCCGCCAGACTGTCCACGCTGCCCCGGTCGACCGCCTTGCTTCGCCGGGGCGACGTAGTTCACCTGCGCCAAGAGCTCTTGGGACCGCTCAGCCTCCTGCATCGCCTCGTCCTGCAGGATGTACGAGGTCAACGTGTCCTCGTTGAGCGTTGCCCGCGTGCTCGGCGCCATCGACAGCCGCTTTAGCAGGTTGTAGCTGCTCGGAAGTCCCTGCATGACATGGGTGACGTACGACGCCGTCGAGTACTCCGCGCCGGCCATCCTGATGGTGGCGAGAATCCGCCGAGCTCGGTTGCAGTAGTCCGTCGCGGTCTCCTGGTCGCCCATACGCAGGTGCGTCAGCTGCCCTTCAAGCTGGGCGATGAACAAGTCGTCGGTGACTTGGTAAGTCGACTCGATGAAGTGCCACGCCCGGTGGCCGGCGTCGATGTGCTCCCTGCACGACTTCAGGGCGATTTGCACGCCCGGCGAGCAGCACCGCGAGATGACCGTGAAGGTCAGCAGCTGCACGGCGCGAAACTCCGCACGCAAAGTTGATCAGCCCGGCCATCTCCAGCTAGGGCTCGATGGCTTCCTTCCAGGTGAGAATGTCGGGTCGACCGACCAGCAGGGGAGTCACCAAGATCCTATCCGGCGTAAACTTGAAGTAGCCGTAGCTCGGTGCAATCCCGCCTGCTGTCACCTAAGTCGCCGACATCGGCAAAGATCCACTTCGCCGACCTCCGACGTCACCCTGCGAGGACCCTGCAGCCGCCGACGACCGCATCCCTCGCGCCCGAACGCCGCCGACTTCATCGGCGTGAATCACACCACGCTGCCTCGACGACGTGCCTCCCGCACTGCTGCCGACTTGGTCACCACCGGCGTTGACGCCCACGTCAACGCCGACCTCGGTGTTCACTGGTCGAGGAGATGCAGGCCGAGAAGGATGCTCCGTCGCCCACACGGAACGGATGCCAGCCTCGACGACCGCCCAAGGCAGGTCGCCATACTCGTTAGCCTCATGGCGTCTCCTCGCGTTCTCCAGCCGTGCCTCCAGGGTGTCCACCACCCCCGTGTCACCTACGGCGCCTACCATGGTGACTACCGCACAGCTGCCGGCCTACGAACAACTTAGGTAAGGTGCAACTAAGTCGACTAGACTGAAAGGTAAGTCGTGTGCCGTCCACGCTCACCGCACCATGCGGAGATAACTACTACAATGGGAGCTAGACTACGGGCTAGGCACGGGTGTTCGCGTGATCTCTGTGTTCCTTGTTCCTTAGTCGTTTTCCTAGTGCACATACTGCTTGCTAGTTCACGGGGAAATTTGGCAAGAGTTTCACTATAGAAAGTTGACAACAGTGGTACAATGAAGTTGGCAAGGTAGGACTACATCAGAGCTAGCATGCAAGCAAGTCTACTGCCAGCGCAGCACGGTCGACCACGTGCCAGCACGACTTGGTCGACCGCGCTCCAGCAGTGTAGAGCCGCGGCTTGCCAACGCTACAAGTCGACGGCATGCCAGCGTTGCAGGTTGACGGCGTGCCAACGTTGCTCCCGCAGGACAGCAGCGCACCTGCTTCGCAGGTGCTCGCAGATGATTGGCGTGCAGTGCCCCGTCACCTGCACAGCGCACACACCACGTCAACTTCGTGCTGACGACTGCTTCTGATCAGCCATGTCGACCTCGGGATACCACCACCGAGGTCGTCCTCGCCAACGTCGCCTGGGCGACCGTCGCGTGCCTCCGCAGAACCTCGTCACCCAGGTAACCTGGTCGACCGGGCAACCAGGTCGACCAGGAGCTCCTGTATGTACCCGTCGACCTCCCAAGTCGACGGCCACCTCCAGTCGACCTCCCCAGGTCGACCACTACCCCCTGGTCGACCAGCTCCAGGTCGACGTCACTCCTGGTCGACCAGCTCCTCGTCGACCAGCGCAGTTGCCAGCCGACCCCAAAGTCGGCTACACGAAGTCGGCGTCACCAAGTTGACGCCCTGCTACTCGACGCCCAGCAGCTCGGCGTCCTGAATCCTTCTGTCGTGGTCGACGTCGGCCCCTCCTTCGTCGACCACCATGTTCGGTCAACCCCAGGTCGACATCATGCCTGGTCGACCAGCCACCAAGTCGACCAGCAGGCCTGGTCGACCAACCAAGTCGACCAGCAGGTCTGGTCGACCAACCAAGTCGACCAGAAGTAACCAGGCTGACCAGAAGTCCAGGTCGACTAACCAGGTCGACCAGTAGGTCTGGTCGACCAACCAGGTCGACCAGAAGGGCACACTGTCCGCCGACCATCCAAGTCGGCTACCCCAAGTTGGCGTCACCAAGTCGACGCCCTCCGCAGGTCGACTTCCCAGGTCGACCTCCCTGAAGTCGGCGCCATCCTGAAGTCGGCGCCCATGCAGTGGCACCCGTGCAGGTCGACTTCCTCGTCGATCGGCTCGCTCACTACTGCAGGTCGGCTGCGCCCCTACGCCCGACCACGAAGTCGGCTCCGCCCAAGCGAGGACGGGGCCAACACACAACTCCCGTTAATAGTTGTAGCGCCGTTGAGTGTGGAAAGCGAACTCAGGTACTGACGTTTTCCTCTTGTGCCTTTCTTCTTGCAGGTCCATGTCTTGTTGCTCGGCGTGAATTTCGGCGTAGAGTGCTGCTTCTGATATTTTTCCGTGGGCTCGGAGTATGGCGCGAGTGGACCGCCAATGAGGACCAAGACCGCCGATGACGACTATGACGAAGGCGTCTTCCGATATCGACCCTCCGCATCGAAGGAGTTTGTCGCGCAACTCGCGACAGCGACTGATATACACCATCCCTTTTTCGCCCGGTTTCATTTCGACTGTTGTCAATTGCGCCATTAACCGACCCTGATACAGGTTCTTCAGGTGTTGTACGCGAGCTCGGCGGAGTCTCGTATCCCCGGTAAGACCGAATGTTCTGCTGCTGATTCGGAGTGATGTTTCTCAGCAGGATTGTATAAGCCATTATTGACTGATACGTGTACTGCTGTTTGTCGTATTGCGTGCCGTGTGTTGGATATGGCAGGGACCCGTCGAAGAAGCCAAGTATCTGCGCGCCTTCCATCATCAGCTCGAATTCGAACGACCAGGTGAAGAAGTCCTTTCCGTCGAATGGTCTTGATGTCTGCAATTTTAAGATGTACGCGAATTGCGACTGAACTTGAAGTGCGTCCAGTGCTTTCTCTTGTCCAGACGAAGGCTGCGGATGCGGCATGAAGCTGATGGAGCCGCGTTGAGGCTCGTACGGAGCAAAGGTAGGCTGCTGCTGTTGATTTTCGAGCGCGTAGGATGAGCCATCGAGACTCATAGGTGTCACGTCGTTATTGTTGTTGCTGTTGTTTGACTGCGCAGGTGCCGATTGCTGGTGTTGCTCATAGAAGGACATGAAGGAGAAGAATTTCTCCATCATGCTTGGGTCGAAGTCTGCAGGTTGATTCGCTGGAGTCTTTGTGGACCCTTCTGCTGGTCTTGTTGCCGTACCCTCCTCTGTCTGTAGGCCAGAGGCAGGAGGTGGAGTAGGAGTAGTGCAGGAAGAACCATTAGAGGAACTCCTTTCCTTCTGAGTAGCCATGCCTTCTGATGTTGTAGGTGTCTTCATAGTGGAATCTGTCCTGGTAGTTCTCATACCATGTTGGGCTGAGAAAAGCCCTTAGGATCTTTGCAAGACTAAACTCCTACAGTAGTAGGACTGATGTAATAGCGGAAGCGTTTTAATGAGTATTGTTGAACCACCTTGCGCTAGTATGTGAGGGCAAAGTAGATTGATTAAAGCAAGGAGATACAAGGTTTTAATAAGAGTACAAGGAATATGAAGAGATATAACTAATAACTGCTTACTGTTGCTGTTGCGATTCGATACAGTGACGACTCGGGCAACTGCTCAATAACGAGTCAGTTGTTTGTCCTTGCTGTCGCGCTGTACTTGTCAGGTCAAAGGTCGCTGACCTTTGACTTTCGCGTAACCTCCAGCAGTTGCTCAACCTCTGAGGGTTGACTCGCCGATGCCTCGTTACATTACGCTTCGTTTACGACTTAGCGTTTCGACACGACAGATGCGCTTAAATTACTTGTTTCCAACATGAGTTACAGGTAGTAGGACGAAGAGTTCCGTGACTGTTCGCATGACAGAATGTAAGTGCTAATTCATAGAGAACAAGTACATATATTATAGGTACTTTGCTATACTATATATTTCTTGTACCTTCTCGTTATAATCAGATTTTGTTCTTACACTCAATCAGAACAGGGTTTCAAGCCTTCCGCTGCATTAATTTATTAGGACTAGATTCTAAAAGATAATGAAATCTTCTACTCAGCGCAACGTGGTCTCAGGGCAGGAAAGTTTATGATTTCCTAATGTTTTATTGAAGTTTTGATTGCTATATACTCGTGGTACCCTCTTAGATTTTGAGTGTTAGACGGTGTTAATATAATCGTCGTATATTGCGAACGGTGCAGTGTCACCGCTTCGCATTCCCCCATCAATAACTGCATCCGCATCGCACCGCATCATTCTGTAGCAGCAACGATCCAGCCACCATTCATCAACGGCTTCGTGGATCTCCTGCTGCTGGGAAACTCGTCCTCGTCGCGCCGCATCGGCGCTCGGCATCTCGTCGCTCTCCTCCCCGCGGAGCCGTTCTCTCCCTCGTGTTTGGTAGATCCAGCCACCTCCTTTCTTCGCATCGCCATTCTTAGCATCGCCACTCTCAGCATCGCTATCCGTGACTCGCGTGCGGCAGCAGCATGGATTCCCGGCTCGCGCTCTTCGCGCTTCTCCTCGCCGCCGTCCTTGTCTCAGGTGACCTCGTATTACCTTCACCTACCCGCCGCGCCCCCCTCTCAAGCTCACCTATCTGCGCGCCCCCCCCTTTCGTTCTATGCGCGACCGTCCTTCTCCGCGTCTGAACGCCCCTCTATATCCTTGTCTGTGTGCGTCTGAACGCCCCTCCCCATGCTGGTCTGCGTGCGAGCGTGCGTGGCAGCGAGCGCCAAGGTGGAGAAGGACGTCAAGCAGCTGCAGATCGGCGTCAAGGTGAGCGCCATGCCGTCAAGGTGAGCGCCATGCCGTCAAGGTGAGCGCCATGCCGTCAAGGTGAGCGCCCCGCCCTCTTGCCCTTACCTTCGATGCCTCCCGCTCTGCGTTGCAACCATCCATCTTCATGCGCTTTCTCATGTCTTCTCTTCTCCTTCTCTTCACCACGCTCCACTCACTCTTCTCCTCTTCCCGTCTTCCCCCTAACCCCTATGCGCCCATCGCATGCTGCGCTCCCCTCACGTGCTGTGCGCGCCCTGCCCCTGGTCCCCCTTTGCGCAGTTCAAGCCGGAGACATGCCACACCAAGGCGCGCAACCTCGACACTGTCAGGGTTCACTACAAGGTATCCTCGATACAGTCACGAATCACTACAAGGTATCCTCGATACAGTCACGAATCACTACAAGGTATCCTCGATACAGTCACGAATCACTACAAGGTATCCTCGATACAGTCACGAATCACTACAAGTTATCTTCGATACAGTCATGATTCGCTACAAGGTATTATCGATGTGAGGAGTTGGGAGATTCAAGGCACCCCATGGATGGACCCCAGTACTCTGCACGCCCTGCCACCTCGCTTCCCACTTGCCTCGTCTTCCCATATCCCCTCTCCACCGCTCAGCTCACTCCCCACCGCTCAGCTCACTCCCCACCGCTCAGCTCACTCCCCACCGCTCAGCTCACTCCCCACCGCTCAGCTCACTCCCCACCGCTCAGCTCACTCCCCACCGCTCAGCTCACTCCCCACCGCTCAGCTCACTCCCCACCGCTCAGCTCACTCCCCACCGCTCAGCTCACTCCCCACCGCTCAGCTCACTCCCCACCGCTCAGCTCACTCCCCACCGCTCAGCTCACTCCCCACCGCTCAGCTCACTCCCCACCGCTCAGCTCACTCCCCACCGCTCAGCTCACTCCCCACCGCTCAGCTCACTCCCCACCGCTCAGCTCACTCCCCACCGCTCAGCTCACTCCCCACCGCTCAGCTCACTCCCCACCGCTCAGCTCACTCCCCACCGCTCAGCTCACTCCCCACCGCTCAGCTCACTCCCCACCGCTCAGCTCACTCCCCACCGCTCAGCTCACTCCCCACCGCTCAGCTCACTCCCCACCGCTCAGCTCACTCCCCACCGCTCAGCTCACTCCCCACCGCTCAGCTCACTCCCCACCGCTCAGCTCACTCCCCACCGCTCAGCTCACTCCCCACCGCTCAGCTCACTCCCCACCGCTCAGCTCACTCCCCACCGCTCAGCTCACTCCCCACCGCTCAGCTCACTCCCCACCGCTCAGCTCACTCCCCACCGCTCAGCTCACTCCCCACCGCTCAGCTCACTCCCCACCGCTCAGCTCACTCCCCACCGCTCAGCTCACTCCCCACCGCTCAGCTCACTCCCCACCGCTCAGCTCACTCCCCACCGCTCAGCTCACTCCCCACCGCTCAGCTCACTCCCCACCGCTCAGCTCACTCCCCACCGCTCAGCTCACTCCCCACCGCTCAGCTCACTCCCCACCGCTCAGCTCACTCCCCACCGCTCAGCTCACTCCCCACCGCTCAGCTCACTCCCCACCGCTCAGCTCACTCCCCACCGCTCAGCTCACTCCCCACCGCTCAGCTCACTCCCCACCGCTCAGCTCACTCCCCACCGCTCAGCTCACTCCCCACCGCTCAGCTCACTCCCCACCGCTCAGCTCACTCCCCACCGCTCAGCTCACTCCCCACCGCTCAGCTCACTCCCCACCGCTCAGCTCACTCCCCACCGCTCAGCTCACTCCCCACCGCTCAGCTCACTCCCCACCGCTCAGCTCACTCCCCACCGCTCAGCTCACTCCCCACCGCTCAGCTCACTCCCCACCGCTCAGCTCACTCCCCACCGCTCAGCTCACTCCCCACCGCTCAGCTCACTCCCCACCGCTCAGCTCACTCCCCACCGCTCAGCTCACTCCCCACCGCTCAGCTCACTCCCCACCGCTCAGCTCACTCCCCACCGCTCAGCTCACTCCCCACCGCTCAGCTCACTCCCCACCGCTCAGCTCACTCCCCACCGCTCAGCTCACTCCCCACCGCTCAGCTCACTCCCCACCGCTCAGCTCACTCCCCACCGCTCAGCTCACTCCCCACCGCTCAGCTCACTCCCCACCGCTCAGCTCACTCCCCACCGCTCAGCTCACTCCCCACCGCTCAGCTCACTCCCCACCGCTCAGCTCACTCCCCACCGCTCAGCTCACTCCCCACCGCTCAGCTCACTCCCCACCGCTCAGCTCACTCCCCACCGCTCAGCTCACTCCCCACCGCTCAGCTCACTCCCCACCGCTCAGCTCACTCCCCACCGCTCAGCTCACTCCCCACCGCTCAGCTCACTCCCCACCGCTCAGCTCACTCCCCACCGCTCAGCTCACTCCCCACCGCTCAGCTCACTCCCCACCGCTCAGCTCACTCCCCACCGCTCAGCTCACTCCCCACCGCTCAGCTCACTCCCCACCGCTCAGCTCACTCCCCACCGCTCAGCTCACTCCCCACCGCTCAGCTCACTCCCCACCGCTCAGCTCACTCCCCACCGCTCAGCTCACTCCCCACCGCTCAGCTCACTCCCCACCGCTCAGCTCACTCCCCACCGCTCAGCTCACTCCCCACCGCTCAGCTCACTCCCCACCGCTCAGCTCACTCCCCACCGCTCAGCTCACTCCCCACCGCTCAGCTCACTCCCCACCGCTCAGCTCACTCCCCACCGCTCAGCTCACTCCCCACCGCTCAGCTCACTCCCCACCGCTCAGCTCACTCCCCACCGCTCAGCTCACTCCCCACCGCTCAGCTCACTCCCCACCGCTCAGCTCACTCCCCACCGCTCAGCTCACTCCCCACCGCTCAGCTCACTCCCCACCGCTCAGCTCACTCCCCACCGCTCAGCTCACTCCCCACCGCTCAGCTCACTCCCCACCGCTCAGCTCACTCCCCACCGCTCAGCTCACTCCCCACCGCTCAGCTCACTCCCCACCGCTCAGCTCACTCCCCACCGCTCAGCTCACTCCCCACCGCTCAGCTCACTCCCCACCGCTCAGCTCACTCCCCACCGCTCAGCTCACTCCCCACCGCTCAGCTCACTCCCCACCGCTCAGCTCACTCCCCACCGCTCAGCTCACTCCCCACCGCTCAGCTCACTCCCCACCGCTCAGCTCACTCCCCACCGCTCAGCTCACTCCCCACCGCTCAGCTCACTCCCCACCGCTCAGCTCACTCCCCACCGCTCAGCTCACTCCCCACCGCTCAGCTCACTCCCCACCGCTCAGCTCACTCCCCACCGCTCAGCTCACTCCCCACCGCTCAGCTCACTCCCCACCGCTCAGCTCACTCCCCACCGCTCAGCTCACTCCCCACCGCTCAGCTCACTCCCCACCGCTCAGCTCACTCCCCACCGCTCAGCTCACTCCCCACCGCTCAGCTCACTCCCCACCGCTCAGCTCACTCCCCACCGCTCAGCTCACTCCCCACCGCTCAGCTCACTCCCCACCGCTCAGCTCACTCCCCACCGCTCAGCTCACTCCCCACCGCTCAGCTCACTCCCCACCGCTCAGCTCACTCCCCACCGCTCAGCTCACTCCCCACCGCTCAGCTCACTCCCCACCGCTCAGCTCACTCCCCACCGCTCAGCTCACTCCCCACCGCTCAGCTCACTCCCCACCGCTCAGCTCACTCCCCACCGCTCAGCTCACTCCCCACCGCTCAGCTCACTCCCCACCGCTCAGCTCACTCCCCACCGCTCAGCTCACTCCCCACCGCTCAGCTCACTCCCCACCGCTCAGCTCACTCCCCACCGCTCAGCTCACTCCCCACCGCTCAGCTCACTCCCCACCGCTCAGCTCACTCCCCACCGCTCAGCTCACTCCCCACCGCTCAGCTCACTCCCCACCGCTCAGCTCACTCCCCACCGCTCAGCTCACTCCCCACCGCTCAGCTCACTCCCCACCGCTCAGCTCACTCCCCACCGCTCAGCTCACTCCCCACCGCTCAGCTCACTCCCCACCGCTCAGCTCACTCCCCACCGCTCAGCTCACTCCCCACCGCTCAGCTCACTCCCCACCGCTCAGCTCACTCCCCACCGCTCAGCTCACTCCCCACCGCTCAGCTCACTCCCCACCGCTCAGCTCACTCCCCACCGCTCAGCTCACTCCCCACCGCTCAGCTCACTCCCCACCGCTCAGCTCACTCCCCACCGCTCAGCTCACTCCCCACCGCTCAGCTCACTCCCCACCGCTCAGCTCACTCCCCACCGCTCAGCTCACTCCCCACCGCTCAGCTCACTCCCCACCGCTCTCACACCCCCGCCACTGCTCACCACTCCCACCGCTCCCCATTTCCCGCTCCCCGCTCAGCTCCTCCCCCCTCCCCCCCCCCCCCCCCCCCCCCCCCCCCCCCCCCCCCCCCCCCCCCCCCCAGGGCATGCTGGTGGATGGCAGCGTGTTTGACTCGAGCTACGAGCGCGGCGACCCGCTGCAGTTCCGCCTGGGACAGGGCAACGTGATCAAGGGTGGGTGAGGGGGGCAGGGCAACGTGATCAAGGGTGGGTGAGGGGGGCAGGGCAACGTGATCAAGGGTGGGTGAGGCTCTGTTAAGCCTTTAACTTCACCGCATGCACACGCTGGCATGTTCCCATCTACTGTGGAAGGGAAAAGTTGCGCTAGGATGTGCCCAAGATCCCTCTAGTGCACATGTGCCCTTTCAACCGCCTCTCCCATTCACCGACACCCATCTCCTGTGATTCTCCACCCCTATCGTCCTGGGAGCAGGGTGGGACATAGGCATTCTGGGCATGTGTGTGGGCGAGAAGCGCAAGCTCAAGATCCCGCCGCACATGGGGTACGGCGAGTCGGGCTCGCCACCCAAGATCCCCGGTATGCATGCGACCACGCCCTCTCCGCTGTCTCTGCTCACCATGCTGCTCCTCCCCTACATGCTTGCTGCTCCTGCCCTATATGCTGCTCCTCCCCTACATGCTTGCTGCTCCTCCCCTATATGCTGCTCCTCCCCTACATGCTTGCTGCTCCTCCCCTATATGCTGCTCCTCCCCTACATGCTTGCTGCTCCTCCCCTATATGCTGCTCCTCCCCTACATGCTTGCTGCTCCTCCCCTATATGCTGCTCCTCCCCTACATGCTTGCTGCTCCTCCCCTATATGCTGCTCCTCCCCTACATGCCTCCTGCCACCTCCCTCGCACTCCCTCTTGCCTTTGCCCTGCATACCTCCTCTCGCAGTGCCTCACAGCTACTCTCCCCTGGCCCACCACCTCTTGCCCACCGTCTCACCACCTTGCCTCCCCCTCAATGCTCATATCCTCGGCTCTTTGAAACAGTGTCGCCAGTGCCCTGCGGCATCACTTGCTTCTCGCTTTGCACTCTTGCCCAACGCTCGCCCATCCCTCGCCCCTGGTTGTCTTGCTTAGCGTTCACACCCAAAGCGCCATCGCAAGCACACTTCAAAAGAATGGTCTACCCCGTCCCCCCTCCCCTCCCTCCTCCCTGCGCTGCTTGCCACCCCTTTCACTTCCCCTCTCCCTGCCTGCCCGCCATGCGCCATGGGATGCTTCACAGGCGGGGCGACGCTCATCTTTGAGACGGAGCTGGTGGAGATCGTGGGGGCCAAGCCTGATGACGACGAGCTCTGACGTGCGCAAGGAATCTCGGCACCAGCATTGCCTTCCACCACTTGACATGTGTTGCGACGGGAACGCTGCTGCCGCATGCTTTGTGCATATCACGGCCGTTTAGGTGGTGTCTTATGTATTCCCATTGATGTTGGGAGTTTTGGCTGAGGTAGCACCGCTCTGCACTGGACTGGGATCTTGTTTACCTTTTGTGCAATGACATTTTCACAATTGCTCCATGTTGCAAGAATCACACAATAATGGCAATGCTAGAATTGCCTCACTATCGTGCAGAGAATTCCATTAAGCACCAGTGCATAATGTCATAAGCCAACTAGAATACTGTTCTGTACATTGCTGCTCTCTGCATCAACCACATAGACATCCGGCAAGCAACCTACTGAGATTTCTTGATCTTGCGAGAACGCGGCGAAGGAGCGACACGAGAGAGGGTGTTGAGGAAGGTGTAGACAGAGAAGAGCACAAAGAGCCAGCGGAACCTGCCAGCCGGGCCACGGGGCAATGGAGGGGGATGCGGGCGATGAGGAGGTTGGGGGGCAGCGGTGCCATGCACGTGTGGGGGAGGGTGTCCATTGATCCGTTACGTAATACAATGTTACAATGTAGCACAATCACGCAAGTAAAGTGAGTGGGAATGGGAAGAGAAAAAGAAGGAAGGGAATAGGGGGAAGATGGTAGTAGGAAGACCCCAAGGGTGGTGGTGAGGCTGGTGGTGAGACCCCAAGGGTATAGGGCAGGAGCGAGTGGGCCACACTGGATGGTGCAGTGAGGTGGCAGGTGGGTGAAGCCTGCAGGGGGAAAAGAAGGTGCCTTGCTCTCAGAAGGTGCCTTGCTCTCAGAAGGTGCCTTGCTCTCAGAAGGTGCCTTGCTCTCAGAAGGTGCCTTGCTCTCAGAAGGTGCCTTGCTCTCAGAAGGTGCCTTGCTCTCAGAAGGTGCCTTGCTCTCAGAAGGTGCCTTGCTCTCAGAAGGTGCCTTGCTCTCAGAAGCATCACACACCAAACGAACTGGGAGCGATGGGCCCGCATTGCCCGCACGCTTGGCAGCATGCTCGGGCAGATGAAATATATCCTGCTGCCCGATGTGCTGAGGTGTCGTGTGATGAGGAAATGCGTCCATATGATGAGCACCCCCAGCAGCCCCAGGAACTTCACATGCAGCCATGCACTGTTCTGCAGGGGGGAGGTGGCATGAATAGGGGGTGGAGATGCATGGGGGAATGAATTGTGGGAGGGGGGGCATGAATAGGAAAGGGCATGATGCGGTGAGCGGACGGAGGGATCGAAGGTGGATGGACACTGACATGAAGGAGACACGGATAAGCTCGAGAACTATCAGCCCCTCACCTTATTGCTCTCAACCGGAAGGAGATGGACAAGGAAGGTGGAAGGTGGAGGAAGGTGGAGGACGGTGGAGGAAGGTGGATGGAGATGGATGAATGTGATGGAGATGTATGAAGAAGAGAGAGAAAAATGAACGAAGGGGAACGAAAGATATGGGAGTGAAAGCATGCGGCAAGAAATGAAGGGGTGTAAATGGAAGGGAGTGAGAGGAATGAGAGTGAAAGGAAGAGGAGTGAAAGAAGGGTGTAAGAGGAACAAAAACGAAAAGAAGGGGAGTGAGAGGGATGGGAGTTAAAGGAAGGGGAGTGAACATAAGGGGAGTGAAAGGAAGGAGAAAGAAAGGAAGGGATGGATGGACGGCGGATTGAAATGGAAGGAGCATGGTGGAAGGGGGGAGAGCAGAGTGGAGGCATGGCAGAGCCACTACCGTGACTGCCTGCCCCACTCACCAGCTGCCCCACTCACCAGCTGCCCCACTCACCAGCTGCCCCACTCACCAGCTGCCCCACTCACCAGCTGCCCCACTCACCAGCTGCCCCACTCACCAGCTGCCCCACTCACCAGCTGCCCCACTCACCAGCTGCCCCACTCACCAGCTGCCCCACTCACCAGCTGCCCCACTCACCAGCTGCCCCACTCACCAGCTGCCCCACTCACCAGCTGCCCCACTCACCAGCTGCCCCACTCACCAGCTGCCCCACTCACCAGCTGCCCCACTCACCAGCTGCCCCACTCACCAGCTGCCACACTCACCAGCTGCCCCACTCACCAGCTGCCCCACTCACCAGCTGCCCCACTCACCAGCTGCCCCACTCACCAGCTGCCCCACTCACCAGCTGCCCCACTCACCAGCTGCCCCACTCACCAGCTGCCCCACTCACCAGCTGCCCCACTCACCAGCTGCCCCACTCACCAGCTGCCCCACTCACCAGCTGCCCCACTCACCAGCTGCCCCACTCACCAGCTGCCACACTCACCAGCTGCCCCACTCACCAGCTGCCCCACTCACCAGCTGCCACACGGGGACTGTCAGCGACCCATTGTCAACCATGGTGCTGGAGAGACGGGGCGTTGGGGCGCAGGGGGTAGGGAGGGGCAAGGATGAACAGCAGGTGAGGCGAGGAGCTTGGCACATGCGAACAGCTGGCAGGGTGACAGCTGGCAAAGATACAGTGGGCAGTGAGATGCAGTTGCAACACAGAAAGCCGGGCCGCACATATTGACCAAGAGCGCAGGGAGCGGTTCAGTGCAGTGCAGTGCAGCTTCTTCGGGGTGCATGCTCAACCCAGATCAACTTACGGCTCGAGTTTCATCCACACATTCCCCATTCGTTTGCACTCACTGCCCACTCCTATGCGGCACCCCCCTGCAATGATTTTTCCCAATCCAACCCCTCTGGAGGAGCACCCAAGCGCTCTTCCAGCAAAAGATTTAGGTCAGGAGCTGGACTGCCAAATGCCCCTCACATGGGCCGGGGTGTGGAGAGGCGCGAGAAGCAGCAGCTGCATACTTTGATGACGCGTGCGGTGTTTGAGCAAAGCAGCACACACACACCAGGATTTCACAAAGCAACTGATACCTCAAAGCATGGAACGTCTGAGAGCACAGAGCCCCAGCGAGCACAGCGCACCTGAGAGCATGGCTGATGGCGCGGTGGTTGGGATGGCCGGACACACCCCAGGCGTCGAATGTGAGGAGCTGTGCGGCAGTCAATGCGGGGAATGACGGCAGGGGAACGAGGGGAATGAGAGGGCTGGAAGGCTCCCCACGCGTGCAAGGAGAGCATCTGATGGGCAGATGGGAGGATGGGAAGAGCGGGTTGTGCGCGCAGGGCAGAGAGCTCAGAGCAGAGGGAAGAATGCATACCTCATATCCCATCCCCCATCCCCCCTCCCCCATCAAACCCTAGAACCCATCCCTCACATCCCATCATTGCTCCCACCGTTTGTATTCGGTGCCTTTTCACAAAGTCAGTGACCAAGCCGGCCATCACATCCGACGGCCAGGATTGGTCCATGCCATCCTGCAGATCAACGGTGCAGGGAGAGGGGGGGAGTGAGGGTGCAGAAGAATGATTGGCGGATGGCTGTTCCTGCAATGCCGACGGACATGCACTCTGCACTCCCATTTGCCCAGCCCGCTTCCTTCTGTCCTGCTCGCCTCCTCTCCTCGCCTATGTCAGTTCTGCCCCCATGCATCTCTGCCCCCATGCATCTCTGCCCCCATGCACCGCCCTGGTTCACCCCATATTACCTTCACGCGCACCTCATCACCCCCACTCGCCCTTCACCGCTCTGAACCGCACCTGCAGCTGCGGATGCTCCACCACCTCAACACAGTGCTGGGCTATCTGAGCGCCGGAGAGAGGTCGGGGAAAGGGGGTCAGACGGGTTGGAGTGGGGGTGATGTGAGGGGGGTGATGTGAGGGGGTGGGGTGGGGTGAGGGGGGGTTGGGATGAGGGGCGGGGTGGGGTGAGGGGGCGACTGTAGGGGAGGAGGGCGCCGGAGCGAGCGTGAGGCCAGAGAAGCAAAGGGAGACGATGGGCTTCTAACCCAAGCCTCTCTCCTCCCCAAGATTCTCCCTACCCCGAGCCTGTCCATTCCCCGAACCTCTCTCCCAGCCTAACTCTACCCCAAGCCTGTCTCTACCCCGAGGGTCGCCGCTGCTGCCTTCAGCTCCGCCCTGCGCGTGCTGCCCAGCCCCTCCGCGTTGCCTGCCAGGACCAGTTGGTGAGGCGCGGAGGGAGGGAGAGGGGGGAAGAATGTTGAGATTCGGAACACGAAGGGGATGCGATGCCTCGTTGCAAAGAGGGGACGGGGGTAGACCGCAAGCAGTTGGGCGTGTGATCTGATTCGCAAGCAGAAGGGGATGCGTGAGAGAATAGGGGTTGGCTCGGCACAGAGGAGAGTCAACGGCAGAGAGGAGAAGCACGGCGGGTCGTGGGGCACCTGAGGAGAGACAAAGGATGTGCAAGGCGCAGCGGGCGCCGTGTTGCGTGGAGTCAGCTGGTCGCGCAGCGGACGAGACGAGGTGCCCCACCCCGGAGGGCCGCGCGACGAGCGCGCGCAGCGTGGGCACGAAGAACCTGCGCGCGCGGGGGGGGGTGGCGGACGGAATGGGGGAGCGCAGGAGAGAGCGAAAGAGAGGAGGGTAGTGGAGGAGAGTGGAGAGGAGGACGGAAGTAATATGCGGAGTTGAGAATAAGGAGGGCGGATGGTGCGGAGAGACGCAGTAGCAGCGCGCGGCTACGGCGGCGGGAGCGGCGGATGATCGCGGCGGGCGAGGATGGAGGAGACGAGGCGAGGCTAGGCGAGGCGATGCGGGGAGGCGGAGAGGCGGAGAGGCGGAGAGGCGGAGAGGCGGAGAGGCGGGGAGGCGGGGAGGCGGGGAGGCGGGGAGGCGGGGAGGCGGGGTGGCGGGGAGGCGGGGAGGCGGGGAGGCGGGGAGGCGGGGAGGCGGGGCGCACATGGACTCGTCGTCGGGGTGCGCGATGACGAGCCCCGCCGCCACCTCCTCGCAACCCGCCACGCCACCGTCTCCCTGCCTCCCCGCATCCCGCACTGTATCGCCGCTCGCCATGGCGGGTGGAGGAGTCGGTGTTGAAGGTGGTTAGCTAACCACGACCTAGGGCGACCTACATCGACCTATGAAGGACCTAC